TTTGTTTCTAGATTAAGTGCAGATTAGTAAAATAAAAATAAGAAAATGGGAAGTAGAATTTTAGCTGTTTGGGTGGGTAAAGGATATTATTATTTGGCAACTTGCGATGAAGTAAATTAGGAACCTAATATGGTTCAATAGGTTAATTACCCAGAAGATTTTGATGGTATATGGACTTATATTTACTATTCATACAGTGCATAGAAATAAAGGGCGGTTGCGTTTATCAAATTTGGGAGTGAAAATTTTAAAAATGTTAATTATTAAGTTAAGAATCCATCAACAAAATGGCTTAGATTTACAGTTGGAGGTAAAGATAATAATAGATATGATGGGTTTAATGGTTTATTCAATTAAATCTATTTCAGTACTGAGCCAGGTGTTTTCCTTGATTCTGATTCTGGTTCTATTAGTAAGTTGTAATAATATACATAACCAAATGATTTGACCCCTGAATTAATTACGTATCAATTGGTCTCAAATTTATAATACAGGGATCCTGATACAAAAGAAGTTTATTCTATTGTAGGAATATCAAATAATCCCTAATTCCCGCAAGAATATTCACTAAGTGGATGGTTCAAATGGGAAGTACCAAACGTACAAGAAGAATGGCATATCATGTTTAGGGTAACAATCTAACAGGGATAATCTGATGGGCTTTTTGGAGATAGAACATTTGCTGCCTGGGTTGGAAAATCGGATGGAGGCATCATTCATTTAGCAACTTATAAATATGATAATTTGGAAGGTTCTGGAAATGCAAATGTAGTTAAAAACATTCTTCACTAAAATAAACACACCGAATGGTATTATGTTTAATTTGGATATTCAAGGCCTTAGAAAAAAGCAATTGCTTCAATTCGATGGAAGGATTCAGCAGAAATATAAACATATGAAAATATCAAACACTTCCAAGTACCTTACTACTAAATTTATATAGGAAAAGACTACAAATATGCAGGATTCAAGGGTAATATTGCATCAGTCTTTTTCAATGTTGGAGGAGGGCTGAAAATGAAAGAAATTGAGGATTACTAGATGAGTATTATAGAGATGATTCATCCAATTTAACATTTTTTCGATGAATAATCTTTAATTCCTGGATGCTCATATTTTATAGATGGCAAATGTTTTAATTGTTTTGAGGGGTGGAATTTTTTGGATTTAAGTAATTAGTGTATACCAATTTGTGGAGATAATTTAATTTATGGAACAGAGGAATGTGACGACGGGAACTTAATTCCTTTTGATGGTTGTTTCAATTGCAAATTCTAGTGTGCCAAAAATTGTAAAATATGTGAATATGGAAGATGCATTTAATGTTAATTTGGTTATAAGCTAAAATCCTAATATTGTTATCCTGTTTGTGGAGATGCATTGACTCTAGATAATGAAGTATGTGATGATGGCAATTATGAAAAATTTGATGGTTGTTATAAGTGCAACAATAGTTGCCAAATAGAATGTAAATTATGTGTTAATTAATTATGCTTTTAATGTTAAGATGGATGGTAATTAATTAGTAATAGATGTGAGTAAGTTTGTAATGACAATCTGTTGGCAATATTATCAATAGAATAATGTGATAATGATGCCGATATTTATTGCAATGATTGTGTATAATTATGCTAAGACAATTGTTTATCATGCCTCACATATAATCAATGTAAATTTTGTAGACATCCATTTGAATTAGTCAATGGAATATGTACATCTATCTGTGGAGATTCAATTGTGATAGTTGGGTTTGAATAATGTGATGATGGAAATGATATACAATTTGATGGTTGTTACCAATGTTAATTGTAATGTTCATATGGGTGTATTTTATGTTAGAATAATAATATTTGTGCAGAATGTGACCCATCACTTGCTAAATTAAATGATCGCACAATGAAATGCGAATAAATACATGTTGATATAGAAATAGATGAAGAGATAGTAGAAGTTAATGATAATTAATGTGGAAATGGTCTACTTAATAGCCTTTATGAAGATTGTGATGACGGCAATATTGAAGGAGGAGATGGATGTTCTGCATACTGCAACATCGAAACTTCATTCATTTGTACGAATGTGGAAAACTCATTAAGTGTTTGCGCTTTTTTAGAAACTCCATAGTTTAAATTAGAATTACTCTCTGATAAAAAAAGTTAATCATAAATTGTAGAACTAAGTTTCACTCAAAAGGTGAAGTTGAGTGCTCAGCTTGCCTTCGAGAATATAACAATTTTTACAGTTTTACCAACTACAAGGTACGATATTAATATAATACCACTGGTGGAATGTTCAACTGAATTTAACAAATCAAAATATCAAATTTCTATATTTTTTAGAGATCCTGTAGACAATCCTGTTCTTAGAGTTGAAATAGAAAAATCAACTATTATTAATGAACTAAATTAATATTTGGTGGATATTAGATAAGAAATCAAACTAGGAAATCCTTTTGTGATATCTGAAGCAACCCAATAAACAGTCTCTAAAATCGTATCAATGAATGATGCAATGATTTATTCAATGATCTCTATCTCAGTATTTGCTTTATTGACTGGCAACACAATAATGTTCTTAAATTTGTTAGATTTATTGCAATCGTTATCATATCTTAGATACATGAAATACTAATTTCCATAGCATTTGAAATAATTTTTGGATACTTATACGAAAATATCACTTGCGCCAATTTTAGATTTTCTAAAGGTTGATTATTTTCTATCAAAACTAAATGGTGGTACTTTGCCTTTAAAAAAAAAAGATGTATAAAGTGAGTTGAATACATATTTCTTAATGAATTCCAAAAGTTGTTATCTTTCTATTTTGCTATCTCTTTTTTCATATTGTGTATTTTGTTTAATTACTGGTTCAAAAATGCAATATTGGCTAAAGTGTTTAGAATAATGATTTTGGGAAAATAGTAAATACTTAAAATTTTATAGGTTTATTTAATAGAAAGTTATTAGAAAATGCCTTCTTTTGAAAATTAAGTACTTATCGTTAGGGATATTTTAAATGTACTATTCAATTCTTCATTAATTACTATTTAGTGCTCTTCTATAGTTTCCACATTACACATTTGATTCAGCATTTGACATATTTAATAGTATCAATGCCATCATTGTGCTATTTTTTATATTGTTCTCAACTATCAAATTTTTGTCAATAAGTGCCAGGTAAATTAAAGATATAAGGAAATGGAAATATTTTTTCAATGAAACAATCAATGGATTTTGGTCAAAAAATTATAAGTCATTTTAAGTATATAGAGTGACATTTTATATTTTTAATATAGTAGCCTTTATGAATTACCCAGAATTATAATCAATATTACTCTCTATGTCTTCAGCGATTTATTTGATTTACTTAATTAAGTATACTCCCCTGATATGTTAATATGATTTAATTAAGCTAATATTTAAGGAGATATTCTTTTTGATTATTACAGGATCATTTCTTATATATGGTTTCTAACTAAGCAATGAACTACTCCTATTATGTGGATGGATACATATTGGTTTATTTTCTACGATGTTAGCTTCAAGTTTAATGGTTGACATGATAAATCATTTGATAAAAGCGTATGAGCATTATAAAAAACTAAAACTCTAACTTGAAATTAATAAAATGCAATAATACTTTAATAATCGTTTACAGAGATTTATTTTTATGGATCCATAAATTCAATTAGTTTAAGATAAGGATTCTAATAAATGATATAAAAGTGTATTTCATATGAAATTATATAAATGGCATTATATCATATATTTATAATAAACTTAAATTAATATACAATCAATAATATTAAAATAGATTCTTAGTAGTTAAATAGGGATTTCATATATGTTATCAATATAATTTAAAAATAAATATATAATAAAATATATAATATTTATAAATTAAATTACTACTTGGTCTCTATTAGTTTATTAAAATTTCAATAACATGTATGTTAATATTAAAATATTCGATATTTTATTTTATTGTAAATCTGTTTTTGTGAAATCCTGAATTATCTCTTCTAAACTACTATGCACTGAAAAAAAGTGCAATAATTAAACACAAGACAGAGTTCCTATTTTATTATACATCTTGCTATTAATCTATAAATTATTATCCTTCCTAAATTGTAAATGGCTCTAAAAGTTCCTGTCATACTATCATATTGTAAGAAAAGATTATTGCAGCTTTGTTTAATTCTGACTCATTTTTATTCTAAAATACTATAAATACATACTTCATTAAATAACAAACATATGTGATGATATTAGATGTATCATCAAAAACAAAATAAGGAGAAACTAGCTAATAAAAGCAGCTATTCTTTAAATTTGCTTCAATTATCTTATGAGAAATCTCATTATAATTATAAGAATGATTACAGGGTTGAGTATACCGAATAAACAAATGAAGAAAGTTGAATTATTGAGCATTGATTCTTCTTGGATTGTTAAAGTTAATGCTAAATTGAATTTGAAAAGCATATCTAAAATTCTATAGCTTAGCTAAAATCTTTTGTCCTTGTAAGTAAAAGATGAAATAGTTTAATGAATTTACTATAATAGTAAAGTAGATTTACCTTGAATTTTCTTTAAATACAATTTAATTACCTTTCCATGTCAAAATACTTTTTTGGATATAAATGATAAAGAGAAAGTACACTAAATTAATAAAAGTAATAGATATGGAAGCTGTATCACTATCATGTATTTATTAAATAGTATTGCTTCATTTTGAACAATTAAAAACTATGTGGAAGTTAAAAGTAGGATTTCACTAAACTTATTACATTTACACGTTAATTACATTATGTCATTATTTGGACCTTATTTAAATTACATTAATAAATTTTAAGAGTTCTCAGTGCATACTATTCTTCGTATTCAGATAAAATTCTTGAGTATATTTGTAAATAATAGGATCTGAATTTTCTTCCATAAACCGATGAACAATTTTCATATTTTGCAAATCTATTATGATAGAATTTTTTCGATTATGTTAGTACACTGCCAGTAAACTTTCTAATTTGGCAGGATATCAATAAAATATTATTTTAAAATGCTTTTGCTCTTCTTTGACTTAACAAATAATTTCAATTCAATTTAAAATAAAAAGCTCATTGTTTACTATAATTGTATCTATTTCCTGTGCAATTTTAATCTATAAAAATTAACAATTAAACAATGGCTTAGTAAAGAATTTCATCTTTAACGTTTAAAGTTTGAATAAATGTCATCTAATTAATATATTCTATAGAACATCACCTTTTTTGATCTATAATCAAAAAAAAGACTGACTATAATAACTTCTTAAGCTATCTTGAAAGTGTTAATAATTGAAAGATTTATCCTTACATTCGTCTTAATTTAATTAAATCTCCTCCTAAAATTATGTTTTTATTTTATTATAATATTGTAGAGTCTTATCTTTGTTCTAATATTAAATTGAAGAACAAATTATTTTTACAGGTTCCAGAGTAATTAAGTTGAAAAGTCTGGGTCTTTTATTAAACTAAAATTCCGATTTTGAAGAGTCTATAGAGGTTGGG